TGTAAGTTCATTTGGCGCTCTTTCGAAAACGTTCAAGAGTTGTGTATAAAACTTTATGTATTTTAAATATTTAAAGGTTTTTCTCATTTAGTTATTATGTGCTACAATTAGATATTTGTATTTGCACTAAAGCAGAATGTTTTAAATCGAATTGAAGATTAGATGCTTAAATCAAATATAGAATATTAAATGTATTAACAAAAATTTGTTAAATTAGTTAAATAAAAATACAATAACATGTGCAAAATTTATGTATGTGTGTGGGTGATTGTTTGTTTGTTTCTTTGTATAAGTAAATGTATGTAACTATGTTTTTAGCTCAAATGCAGTATCAGTAGCTTTTCACTTAATCAACTAGCAACGCGCCTCTCGCTAACGCATAAATACTCATACTAACTAACACGTTAAGGTTAAACTCTGCCTTGGCTAACAAACTGTTAAACATATCGCTCATTTGACTGTGACATCAATGCAGCTCTTTCACTTATGACTAATGCACGTGCTCCACAAATAAAAATGAAGATGCGTAGATCCATTGAAAGGTCTCATCCTAGCGTCGATCCCTTTGAGCATGCACTCTGTCTCGCATTTTTGCACTTGTTTTTAAATGTTTTAATAAAGCTTTGAGGGGGGAACACACGAAATGGCTTTTGACTTGTTGCGGTTTCTGTTTTCTTTTTTTTTGCTGTTGTTGTCGACACAGATGTTCTGCGACACCGCAGATGCCTCACATGAAAAACTCATTGGCTGAATGCGAAAGCGGAAGTCACGTTCGCCCCGGACGATCAAATATGGTTATCTCTATAACGCGAAGACCACGAAAGGTTGGATCGATCAATTGCAGACCCTTTGGATTGTAAATGCGTTCATTTTGGGAAGCAACAAATTTGGAAATCTTACGCAGCGTCTGTGTAGAAAAACAGATTAACAAATTAAGTCAATGTACCAAATATTTCAATAGCTAGGCTCACCTTTTCGTAATGTGTCTCAGAGCACATATATATCAAGTACGCTGTTATACAACCTATACAGCCCTCGCAGTAGGTGCTGCACGAGCCCTCCTCTGCCTCGGCATAAAATTCGTTAAGCCTGTTAATCGTCGCCTCAAAGACGTGCCGTTCAATCTATGAAAATCAAATGCAAAATATGGTTCAGGTCTATCTCACTTTTTTTCGGGTTAACCGTTACATACCATGCCATCCAGCTCTGGGGGTAGTCTAGTATGAAACTTCACTGAGGTGCCATCGCTATAGTCCCGTTGTATGAAGACCTTGCCGCCATGCAAAATGGTTGGATTGCTCGTTGATGGTGTGCCACCGCCTTGTGACATTATTGTACTGTAAAAATCCCATAATCCATTGATTAACTGAATCTGCATGAATCGATACATTTGGTACGTCGCGATCATTTTGTACGGACAAAAAAAAAATAGATAAACAAACAAACAAAACCAGCAACAACAATAAGAATTTGCAAAGCCCACTTTGACTTGCTCAGCAAAAAAAAAAAAAAAAAATCATTAAAAAAAAAATAGTGAGTTAAGGGTGGGGTTCAGGCCCATAGCACTTGGCCTTGTGGCTATCCCAGTATTGATAACTGTTAATAATTAGAAATAACTAGTTTGATATTAGAATACTCATATCACTTGCATGACCTAGGCATAATTTATTACAAACAAAACAAAAATTAGTAGCTTCAACTTAAACTGTATGTAATCTGCTATGCATTTATGTTTCAACAAATCAAAATATGCAACAACTGAGTGCACAAGGTTAAAGTTTTTAATGCACTTGTTTATACCTTATTATATTTGATATTAGTTCAGCAATTAATAAAAAATTAATGAACAATTTACACTTACAATTCGCAACGCACGTAACGTGTACACAATGGCGTCTGACCATTCACAGTTTTCGTCTACAGTTAATCAGCTGTTTACCAAAAACAGTGTGGCCATCGCTTTGTACTACCATAATATCATACCGGTGCTGCCAGACCGCTTTTCCAGGTTGCTGAGTTGCCGTTGAAGTTTCAAACCGTTCAGCCAGCCTTGAGATGAATGAACCCTTAGAGATATGTAATCTAATAGATATGTATATAATCATAACTAACTGTCGATTTAGTAAACTCCACTTGAAAAGCTGCTCTAGCAAAGTTCGATGACGCCGCCCGCAGTAGAGATTTCAAAACATACAACAAACGCATTCCCATTGAATTATTTGCACAGCTTGTGAACGCTTGCGCTTACATTTCTTTTGTGTTTTGTATTTATTATTACTTATATTTTTTTGTATTATTTATTCTAAAAACTGTTTTGCTCTATTTGAAAATGGTTATAGTATGCTTAGTATCTTGACAAAGTTCCAGCATGAGAGCTGCTTTCATTTGTCTTCTTAAATGCCTTTTGCATTTAATTTGCCTAAACGTTCTTTGCGTCAGAGATTCTCTTGCCGTGCCCATTGTTGGGGGCCGCATTGTGTCTAGCGTGGGCAGTATTCTAAAATCAATTGGATATTGAGAGTCATACTAAGCCTTCAATTCATATTACAGATGGCGCCGCGAAGTATCCCTTTATGGTGTCACTACAAGATGTGGTGAGTGAATATGGAAACGATGTCAATGCTACCCAGAAGCGGGTATATCAGCACTTCTGTGGCGGAAGCATCATTAGTGAGCGCTGGATACTGACTGCGGCGCACTGTGTCTGGAGAAAGTAAGTATGGGTAGAGAAAGACAAGAAGGGGGAAGAAAGAGATAGAGAACGGATTTAGGGTTAGGAGAAACGGCAAAGCAGGAGAATATATACAAAAAATGTTTCATTAAAAATTATATATTTTGCTTACGTTGAAAATATTTTAGACGGGTCGATGTTTATTTTATTTTATTTATTTTTTTTTTTGCAATAGAGCAATTGAATTTTTTTTTAGTAATTTTAATTAAAAATTATTTTTTCTACATTTCAAAAAAATTATATAAATAGAATTGATAAGTGAACTATGCGAAATTAAGACACATTCTCCACTTAAGATATATGTGTATAATATAAACTTTGATTAATTAATATAAACTATAATTGAAACTTACAGAAGGATTGAAAACATAGTCGCTTTCATCGGCTATGAAAATATTGAAAATGTGGAAAATCTAAAACCCTATTGTGTGAAGAGTGCAGAATATATTTACTTTCAGCCGTAAGTATGAAAGTTTTCAATCTATATTAGAAACCTAAATATTATTCAATACGCATATGTGTATATATTTATAGTTCCAACTACCGCAATGATATCGCACTGCTCCATCTGAAGCGCCCCTTCAAAGGACAATTGGCCACGGACTTGCAGTTCGCTCAGCTGCCGCCGCATGGAATGAAGCCCAATAGCAGTGGTGGATACACAAGTCGATTAATTGCTTCAAAGCCCAAGGCTTATCCTTTTCACAAATTGTGATTTCAGAATCGTGCAGAATAATTGGATACGGCGCGACGAGGCATGCTGGGCCATCGCAGAAGCAGCTCTTCGAGGCCGAGGTGCGGGTGATTGGGAATCAGCAATGTCGCGATATTATCGGCCACATTTGGGCGCCCAAAAACGATGCGAATACGGTCTGTGCGCTGGGCAACAATCAGGACTCGTGCCAGGGCGACTCGGGTGGTCCGCTAATATGTCCATATGGCGCGAATGGTCGGGAATACATTTACGGACTTGTCTCCCACGGCCTGACCTGCGGCATTCCTGGCATGCCCAGCATCTACACGGTGACGCGACCCTACTACGAATGGGTGCAGCTGCTCATCCAGAAGTAACGATTATACATATAATTTATTAATTATACTATATCGAAACAGAAAACATTCACGAATATACATACATGAAACGATGCACATATATATATATATGTATATATGACAATGCAAGGAAGAGTAAAATTAACAATTACGCATAGAAAAAAACTTAGGTCTAGAGTACTGGTAGTATTACAATTGTACGATAAGCACATAGATATATAGTATACATATATACCTACATGTATGGGTATATATATATATTTATGTATATATACTGGGGCAATTTCCATGTACACTCTACGCTCATTTATGCTGTCTGATAGCCTTGGGGCATATTCA